ATTACATTTCTAACTTGTAAACTCCCAGAAAATGCAAAGATTCCACAACCTTAAGTTACATTGCATATATATATTTATATGATATATAATATATTTTATAATATAAATATCTGATATTATTTATATTTATATATATATGATATATTCTATAATAATTGCTTAAGAACTTTATGAGATGTATTCGCCGTGGACAGGCTTCTTCAGTCAATAAAGTTCCTGTACATGAAGGGTATGTAATACCGACAAAATGAAGAATTAAACGCATGTGCTACACCTAAGAAGACTCTCACCTGAGAAGATTCTCAGGTGTTGCACATATGTCTACTTCCTCAATAAAGTTCCTGTCAGCAATTATATCTTTTTCACCACTGATCGCCGATAGCTTTATTACTTTTGATAATATTCTGAAATATCTTGGGACTCATTTATTTCTTATTTTCATGTGAGTTATCATAAATGCAATTTTTCCTATGGGTAACTAGAGTCTAACAACATTGTAGTAGATGATATAGGCATAAAAACAGTTTCCTGAATCTTCATTAGGACAATTTTTCGCCTGTATACGACTGACATCTTCAAGTCAGTGAGTTTTATTCTTGCAGATGGCTCCACCGTAATCCCGACAAGATCTGGGATCGGCAGCCCAAGTGTCGCGGGCCAGGCGACCTCGGAGGCAAGCCGGTCATTGACATGACCTTCAACAGTGTGTGTGACGGCCAGTGGGCCTCCATGACCAAGATTCAGGGCAGGGTGTGAGGGAATAACAGCAGGGCCGGAAACAGATAGGAAGAAGAACAATGGTTGAACGATGAATGGAAAGGTTGAAGGGAACGGCACAGCGAGGAACAGAAAGGTTTAAGAACAGCGACGGGACGAACGATAGACAGGTGGAAGAACAGCGTCAAAATTAGGGAAGGAGACGTTGAATAGAAACGACAAAACGGAGAATAAAAAAATAATTGAAGAACACTGACAGAATCGACAAAAGAAAGATTGAAGAACTGTGACAGAATGAGAAACAGAGAACTGAAGAACAACGACTGAGTGAGGAATAGAGACAGGACAAAACAACAACCTTCCGAAGCCCTAAGTTATAACATATTTGAGGCCCATCAAATTCGAAAATCGAAACAGACATTAATTAATAATAGGGGGATGAACAATTCTTTTTAGCCCCCCTTGTATAACTAGGCCCTAACCTGTAAGTCGGTTAATATATGTGTAAGTCAGGCCCTGGGCAGGGCAATAAACATCAGCAGTGTAAAACTACGGTAGGCTCTGACAGTGAACGCATCAAATGAAGGAGGAACAGAGCAGAGCCTGAACCAGCAGCATACGACAAGGGACACAAAAACAAATCCTATTTTGCGCTCTGAGCTCCAAGGAGCTGAGGAACTTCCTAATCCTCATTTTCCCTCAGTTTTTGGGAACAGGGAGACTTCCTATTACTTATATTCCCAAAGTTCTAGGCAGCAGAAGAGTTTTCTAACCCTCTTATACTCTTGCCTGGTAGACATTGACTCCTGCCTTGCATTACATGCAGACATGTACTCTTGCCTTACGCTACAGCATGTAGGCATGTACTCCTGTCTTACCTTACAGTATGTAGACATGTACTTCTGTACAGCATGTAGACATGTATTCTTGCTTTAAATTACAGCATATAGACATGTACTCCTGTCTTATATTACAGCATGTAGACATGTCCTCCTGCTTCTTCTTCTTGATCCGCCGGTATTCTCCCGGCCCGGGCCTTTTCCAAGTGGTGGCCCGGCCTTGGCTCCCTGTCTAGGGAGTGTCTGAGACCTAAGTCTCCCATGGGAGGAGGCACAAGTACCCCCTCATCTTTGGGACCAACTGTTCCCAGGCCTAGCCGTATTTCCCGCCCTCGTATTTTCCCGCCCTACGAGCCCCGGGAGGGGCTCGTAGGGAGACGTTAGGCCTCTCTGGTCTGCCATCCCCGCCCCAAGGGGGTTAATGAGAATGACAGTCTTGTGAGTTGCAAGCTCTGGCTCAGGCACCTACCCTACCCTAGAAGGGCTGGGCATGATGTCGATCTCCTGCCTTTTTTTTTTTTTTATTCGCCGGTATTCTCCCGGCCCGGGTCTTTTCCAAGTAGTGGTGACCCGGCCTTGGCTCCCTATCTGGGGAGTGTCTCGAGACCTAAGTCTCCCATGGGAGGAGGTACAAGTACCCCCTCATCTTTGGGACCAACTGTCCCCAGGCCTAGCCACAGTCCCCGCCCTCACGGGGCTCGTAGGGAGAAGCTAGGCCTCTGGTCTGCCATCTGCCCCGCCCCAAAGGGGCTCGTGGGGATGGCAGTCTTGTGAGCTGCAGGTACATCACGGCATGTTAAGTCAATAGTAACGTAATATATATTTTTATTATACATTTTTATGTTCATAGAGATGAACTAAACCCGTCAAGGGTCATGTGGTCATGTGGGGAATGGAAGGCAAAAACCATTATAAAAGTTTCAAAATATGTATAAGGTCTAAATAGGAACTGACTAACATTCTTCTTTTTATTACCCTACGACAGTATAAAAAATAATTAAATTTTGCTTTAGTTATCCCTAAAACATTGAAGAGAAAACTCTTCTGGTTAGCTGTTACAGAGAATGTGATTATTTCATCGCGGAAGTAATTTATTTAGGTACAGTAACACGAAAGATAATAATAATAATAATAATCTTTATTTCTACAAGTACAAAGTATATAGGCCTAGCTGACATGAATAACATACTACTATATAGAGAGCCCCATGTTATATTGAGCATTTCGGGCAAATTAGGTCAGTTTTGTCCCCAGATGCGACCTACACCAGTCGACTAACACCCAGGTACCTACTTTACTGACAGGTGAACGTGGACAACAGGTGTCTTAAGGAAACACGTCCTAATGTTTCCACCCGTACCTGGGATCAACCCCTAAACCTCAGTGTATGAGCTGAGTGCTCTAGGTACGGGACTTAAGAACATAAGAACGAAGGAACACTGCAGAAGGCCTACTGGCCCATGCGAGGCAGGTCCAAGTCTCCTACCGGCTTAAGCCAATGCACCCAACCTAGTCAGGTCAGGTCACCTTGACTTAAGGGAGGAACACGGCAACCGACCTGGTAGCACAAGCTAATCAGGTCCAACTCACACCCACCCACACCCACTCATGTATTTATCCAACCTATTTTTAAAGCTACACAACGTTCTGGCCTCTATGACTGTACTTGGGAGTTTGTTCCACTCATCCACAACTCTATTACCAAACCAGTACTTTCCTATATCCTTCCTGAATCTGAATTTTTCTAACTTAAAACCATTGCTGCGAGTCCTGTCTAGGCTAGATATTTTTAGCACACTATTTACATCCCCTTTATTTATTCCTGTCTTCCATTTATACACCTCAATCATATCCCCCCTAATTCTACGTCTTTCTAGAGAGTGCAGATTCAGGGCCCTTAGTCTATCCTCATAGGGAGGATTTCTGATACATGGGATCAACTTTGTCATCCTCATTTGTACATTTTCCAGAGCATTTATATCCATTCTGTAATACGGTGACCAAAACTGTGCAGCATAATCTAAATGAGGCCTAACCAAGGATGTATAGAGTTGAAGAACAACCTGAGGACTCCTATTATTTATGCTTCTTGATATGAAGCCAAGGATTCTATTAGCTTTATTGCGAACACTTATGCACTGTTGTCTTGGTTTCAGATTACTGCTAACCAGAACTCCTAAATCTTTTTCGCAATCCGTAATATTAAGATCTACATTATTTAGTTTATATATGGCATGGTTATTGTCCTGTCCAACATTTAGAACTTTGGAGCACAGATCCAGTTCTCTAGATCAAGAGCCCTCTCACCAGCATCAAGGAACCTCCATTAAAGGGAAAATGCTGATGGAAACGCTGAAAAAAAATTAGTACACGCAGATCTACCTTATACATCAGTACGAACTACCAGCACTGTGTTAAGTTAATTTAGTCACAGGTACATATAAGTACAATTATGATACATAGGGTAAATTATCTAGGATAACCCCGCAAAAAAGTGAGTCAATGTGACTTATTTCCATTGGTGTCCTGGGATTTCCATTCTTCTTCTTCTTTCTCTTCTTCTTCTTCTTCTTCTTCCTCTTCTTCTTCTTCTTCTTATTATTATTATTACCGGAAACGCTAAGCCTGTGTCGACCATGCAATGTCTAGGGAATGAAATTGCGGAAAGTGGAAAATTGCATAAATTCCGTGAATCAAGAGCCCTTGAGCAACATCTAATTCAGTTTTCTCTAGAAGTCACACTTAAGAGAAAACATGACAGGAGGGGAAACTCAACCATTCCTGGGAGGACCTTGGGAAGGGACGACAGACCACAGCTTGGGCTCTTCAATTCACCAAAAAACCCCACTTGGTGGGTTTTGTTCCATGGAGCTTTACACCATGGAGTTTTCGTCCCGTGGGGGCTTTGTCCCTTTTTTCTTGTTTTGCCAGACACCCGTGGGTCACTTGTCTTCCTGCATTGCTCCTCTGTTTATTATATTCTCTTACTTTAACACTTTTACCACTGTTAGGAATTCCTTCACTGCTACTAGTCTCTCTATTACTTCTACAAATTGTTTAAAAATTACTATTGCTGCTGGTACTGCCTCATTTCTACTTTTGTTACTACAGTATTACTACTGCTGCTACTGCACCTCTTCCTCTCTAGAGCTCTGTCTTTCTCTGCCTCTTCCTCACTTAGTTGTGACTTAATAATGGTTCAGGAGGGACCGAAACGTCGCCATAAGGTTCCTGATTGCAGAGTTTTGGTGAACTGTTCCAGCAACAGTATTACAATTCATTTTTCTTTTCGAGATCTTCAGCGTTATTTTTTTTATTGCCATCGAGCAGCAGGTGACGGTGTTCTGGGCCTCAGATGGTGACGGTGGTTTGGGCCTCAGATGGTGACGGTGGTCTGGGCCTTAGATGGTGACGGTGTTCTGGGCCTCAGATTGTGGCGGTGGTTTGGGCCTTAGATGGTGACGGTGTTCTGGGTCTCAGATGGTGACGGTGCTCTGGGCCTCAGATGGTGACAATGGTCTGGGCCTTAGATGGTGACGGTGCTCTGGGACTCAGATGGTGACGGTGGTCTGGGCCTCAGGTGGTGATGTTGGTCTGGGCCTCAGATGATGACGGTGGTCTGGGCCGCAGGTAGTGACGGTGATCTGAGCCGCAGGTAGATACGGTGGTCTAGGCCACAGGCAGATACGGTGGTCTGGGCTGCAGGTAGTTACGGTGGTCTGGGCCGCAAGTAGTTACGGTCGTCTGGGCTACAGGTAGTTATGGTTTTCTGGGCCGCAGATGGTGACGGTGATCCGTGCCTCAGGTGGTGACGGTGGTCTGAGCCGTAGGTAGTTACGGTGGTCCGAGCTGCAGGTGGTGACGGTGGTCTGGGCCGCAGGTAGTTACGGTGGTCCGAGCTGCAGGTGGTGGCAGTGGTCTGGGCCGCAAGTAGTTACGGTGGTCTGGTCCGCAAGTAGTTACGGTGGTCTAGGCCACAGGTGGTTACGGTAGTTTGGGCTGCAGGTAGTTACAGTGGTCTGGACCGCAAGTAGTTACGGTGGTCTGGTCTACAGGTAGTTACGGTGGTCTGGACACAAGTAGTTACGGTGATCTGTGCCGCAGGTAGTTACGGTGGTCTGATCCGCACGTAGTAACGATGGTCTGGGCCGCAGGTAGTTACGGTGGTCTGGGTCGTAAGTAGTTACGGTGGTCTGGGCCCCAGGTAGTTACGGTGATCTGGGCTGCAGGTACTTATGGTGGTCTGGGTCGCAGGTAATTACGGTGGTCTGGGCTGCAGGTAATAACGGTGGTCTTGGCCACATGTAGTTAGGGTGGTCTTGGCTGCAGGTAGTTACGGTGGTCTGAGCCGCAGGTCACCAAACATACGTCATGTATTACTCAAATAGAAAGTAGGTGGTGACGGTGGTGGTGACGGTGGTAGTGACGGTGGTGGTGACGGTGGTAGTGACGGTGGTGGTGACGGTGGTGGTGACGGTGGTGGTGACGGTGATGGTGACGGTGGTGGTGACGGTGGTGGTGACGGTGGTAGTGACGGTGGTGGTGACGGTGGTGGTGACGGTAGTGTGAGGTGGGGTGACGGTGGTGGACGGTGGTGGTGACGGTGGTGAGTGGTAGTGACGGTGGTGGTGGTGGTACGGTGGTGGTGACGGTGGTGTGACGGTGGTGGTGACGGTGGTGGTGAGTGACGTGGTGGTGACGTGGTGTGACGGTGGTGGTGACGGTGGTGGTGACGGTGGTGGTGACGGTGGTAGTGACGGTGTGGTGACGTGGTGGTGACGGTGGTGGTGACGGTGGTGGTGACGGTGGTGGTGACGGTGGTGTGACGGTGGTGGTGGTGTGACGGTGGTGGTGACGGTGTGTGACGGTGGTGTGACGGTGGTGGTGACGGTGGGTGACGTGGTGGTGACGGTGGTGGTGACGGGGTGTGACGTGGTGAGGACGGTGGTGTGACGGTGGTAGGTGACGGTGGTGTGACGGTGGTAGTGACGGTGGTGGTGACGGTGGTGTGACGGTGGTGTGGTGGACGGTGGTGGTGACGGTGGTGGTGACGGTGGTGGTGACGGTGGTGGTGACGGTGGTTGACGGTGGTGGTGACGGTGGTGGTGACGTGGAGTGAGTCGGTGGTGTGACGGTGGTAGTGACGGTGGTGGTGACGGTGGTGGTGACGGTGGTAGTGACGGTGGTGGTGACGGTGGTGTGACGGTGGTGGTGACGGTGGTGACGGTGGTACGGTGGTGTGACGGTGGTGGTGACGGTGGTGGTGACGGTGGTGTGACGGTGGTGGTGACGGTGGTAGGGTGGTGACGGTGTGTGACGGTGGTGTGACGGTGGTAGTGACGGTGGTGGTGACGGTGGTGAGGGGGTACGTGGTAGTGACGGTGGTGGTGACGGTGGTGAGTACGGTGTGGTGACGGTGGTGGTGACGGTGGTAGACGGTGGTGGTGACGGTGGTGGTGACGGTGGTGGTGACGTGTGGTGACGTGGTGACGTGGTGTGACGGTGGTGGTGACGGTGGTGGTGACGGTGGTGGTGACGGTGGAGTGACGTGGTGTGACGTGGTGTGACGGTGGTGGTGACGGGTGGTGGTGACGGTGGTGGACGGTGTGGTGACGGTGGTTACGTTGGACGGTGGTGGTGACGGTGGTAGGGTGGACGGTGGGTGGTGACGGTGGTAGTGACGGTGGTGGTGACGGTGGTAGTGACGGTGGTGGTGACGGTGGTGGTGACGGTGGTGGTGACGGTGGTGGTGACGGTGGTAGTGACGGTGGTGGTGACGGTGGTAGTGACGGTGGTGGTGACGGTGGTAGTGACGGTGGTAGTGACGGTGGTGGTGACGGTGGTAGTGACGGTGGTGGTGACGGTGATCAAGTTCCCGTCATTATTTAGATTCATTCTGTGACCAGGATAATTTTTTTTATTGAATTTTAACTTTTATTTACTT